AACATCATCGACTGACAAACACTATTCACTTGACTCTGAAGATGACTTCCGCTCAGGTTGTCGAAACGTCAGTCACCAACAACAGTTCTTTTCAGTTGGATACCCATAGATTATGTGACAAGTAGACACACAGAAATCCAATCACGATCAATAATTTTCTGTAGATACGATAAGGTTAGTGTTATTATTGTTGCTTCTAGTAGGAAATATTTGTTGGATTTCAGTTCTACAGCTCACAAGCTGAGATCAGTAGCACTAGTCACGATTATATATTTGATACATTTTGAATCTTAGTTTAACTTCCTTCTCATTAAGACTAGAGTATTTGACTACAGTCGAGCCCCTATTAAGCACCAACCATTGGGTAAATGGGAGGTGCCCGCTTAATAAGGGTTGGCTGCTTAATGGGGGTTTGTATACTTTGAAAATTTTGACCATCGGTTAATTGCTAGTTCACGAACAAACACCATGTCAAGACAAACATGATAAACATGTGTTTGAATGTTTTTCATCAGTCATCACTTTCTATTTTGGACTCTTGTCTGTCATCGCCTTTCTCAAATTGTGTAGTTATTAATTTTTGGGTGGTTGCTTTATAGGGTAAAGATAATCAAAAGGCAGCCACGGCCATCTAATAGAGGTAGCCAGTGAATAGGGTTTTATTTTACCGCCAACAATTTTGGGACTTTGATAACTGGCTGCAAAAATAAGGGGTGGTCGTTAATAGGTGGCTGCTTAATAAAGGTTTCATTGTAAAACTACAAAATTACTACTTGCAACTTTTGTATTAACTACTGTTTACTTACAGTTAAGTTGTCACATTTTATCAGTGATACGACATCTTCAGTATCAAGTTGCAGGAACTCTTCACTATCCACAAGATCAACAAAGTGTTTTAGGATATATTTTTCAGCTGCTTTCCTCAATTCTTCACATCCATGAGTCTCTGCAAATGTTTTAATGCCTAAACAGTTTGATGGATCTAACTGTTGTTCCAAAAATTCACAACAGGCTTTCTGAACACCTGCAAATAATAAACAAATTAAGACGGATTCCACTCAAAGTTTTGAACAATAAGTGCAAAAATTATTTATGAAAAATCTACTCATAGCACGGTAACTTTTGGAATACTATTTAAAGCAACTCACTTTAGTTCCTTTTTCTAAGTGACCCCACGATTAAATTCTCAAGCATTCTTCAGAAAATTAATGTCAAACCCTGCAAGAATGCTTAAAGCATGTGTTATTGTGTTTTTAACTAACACGAAATGTCTGTTTTAACTGAAATATGGATAACTTCAAGTTCAATTTTTTCACGCTGAGTCAGCTTGAGCGCTTAAGTCTTCAAAAATTCTTTTTAACTGTATTCAAAAGATTACCACGTCATGAGGTTTTTTTGGTAACTTAGTTTTTGCCGTCATTGCTCGAATGTTCTGCAAAAATCATTTTAAATATATATTTATTTTTAGTAAGAGTAAAATTGAGAAGCAAAATTTCATCATGGTCTTCCCATTTCAGTCACTCAATTTGTTTTAAAACTCTTTTCAAAATGAAGACTGTGTCACATAACTGGTTCATTCAATGTAGGACCTAAATGTAGTTATAGGAGAATCTTGGTTCACAATACTTGTCTCATTAGCATAAAAGACACTGACAGTTTTTGATGGAGCTACAAAAACATTAGTTCTGAATATTGAAAGGGTACAGCATGATTAACAGTCTCAAGGAATTTGAGCCTGATGTATTGAACATTTTTTGTGCTCATTAGCACTTTTGCAACCCAGAAATTGCAGTTTTTGAATTAAGCCAATTTCTCCTCGAATATTAAACCCAAAGTGTGTCCACACCTTTCTGGGAGGCGCGGTGACCTCATGGTTAGTGCGCTTGACTCTGAATTGAGTAGTGCGGGTTTGGGCCCTGGCAGCGGACATTGTGAATTTGTTCTTGGGCAAGAAACTTTACTCTCACATTGCCTCTCTTCCCCCAGGTGTATAAATGGGCACCAACGAATTCAATGCTAGGGGTAACCCTACAATGAAGTAGCAACATCCCATCCAGGGGGAGTCACTTTATGCTAAAGAAACTGGGATAATCTCCAACCTTACAGGGCCACTTGATTCTTATGCAGACTTTTCCTATGTCCACACCTTTGGTTCTCTTTTTTTGGTATTTGCACAGGTGGCACAATTTCATTTTAATCTGAATTTCATTTGACCTACAACATATGTGACCCTACACAGGAAAACAGGGATAAAGGTGATAACATGCTCATGACACGCTAACACAGTACGCTTAGTGTGTCCTAAGACACGCTTTATACGCATATTTAATTCATAGCACAATGAAGGACACACAACAATTTGTTTCGAAGATGTTAACACGCTAGACCTTTTGTTTTAATTAGCATGCTAACCGTAACACACTTAGTGTGTGAGATAGCACGCTAGAACATGCTAGAGCTAAAAGGAACATCGCAGAAAGTTTGCGATCTCATTCTCCAAAAAGTTGGAATTTTATTATTAAATTTTTTTTACTCTAAAAGCTTCTAAATTAACGACAATTAATAAATAGCAACAAAGAGTGGGAGAAAAACTTGGCATCCACGTTGGACAACGAACAAAAGATACTATTATTCTGAATAACCTCAAACACAAGTAGAACATTTTTAAACAAACTGATCACCTTCCTTCCTTTGGAAACAAATACAGCAGAGGAAGAAGTTGCTGTCTCTGATTCTCATCAGTGCTGAAGAACAACAAATTGTTGTGTTACTGTATGCATAGAGCTTTGGTTACATGTGTTGGGAAGTTTAATGATGAGACTAAAGTTCAGTTTTACAATGTAAAGTGTAAGCCACAAAAAAACTAAACCCTGTTGTAGTCATATTTGGAGAGAGTTTTGTTCAGTTTGTTCGCAAAGAACAATTTTACCACTGCTAGTGGCAAGTGATTTTGGTCACGTGCTAGGCAACAAGTTGGGAATGTATCAAATTTCATTTGTGAGCAAAATAACTTTACAGACACGGATGCCTATGACTTTTTGTTGGTTTATAATTATTTTCATCCATTTTGTAATGGTAACTTTTTTCGGTTAGTTCTGAATTCATAGATACTGGGTTCAAGATGGAAATGAAGCAGAGTGCAAAACGGCGTGTATTGATGTCCGGGAGTCCCAAAGTGCATAAAAGCAAGTTGTTTTGTTTTGACGTCTTGTTCGTCAATTTCTGTGTAGCAAATGTGAAAGAAACAACAAACATTTTGACATCTGCCAAGCAATAACTCCAACAAAGAAAGGTTCTGTGACAAAATTGTGACCTTCGTATGTGGAATTGTTTGTTTTGAACATTATGCAAATTTAAAGCATCACGTAAAGCTGAATCTGATTGGATTCCCCTTATTGTTTGAACGGCTGATTTCTTGTCACGAACAGATAGCAGCAACCGTACAAACTGCATCCTATCTTGAACAGATAACAAACAGCAAGCAAATGATTTTTCTCATGAGAGGTTGGATTTACTACTCAATGTTTATAACTTTCTTTAATTTAAGCAGCAGCAAGAATGGTGCTTCCCCAAGACAGATAAACATTACAACTGAATCTCACCTTCTGTCGAAACGAAAACGCAACAACAAATACAAGGACAAGTTACAATCAAATCCGGGAAATTACAGTACTGCTATTTTTCACACACACTTGATCGACACACTTCATTTCAATCGCGAGTGTAGTAAATAAATGGTAAGTAGTTGTGTTGATTGATGAGCAACCGCAATGTTCGTCAATGTTCTCCTTGCCCAAAACTCTTTCAGCACAGTATTTGAAAGTATCACACTTTAAGCGTGTTGTGCTATGTCACACACTAAAGCGTGTTGTGGCACGCTATCTTTTGTTTTCGAAGTTTAACACGTTTCTTTGTTTGACTGCATTGTTAGTGTGTGCACACTTATTGTTCTTAGTGTGTCCAACCAAACAAAAGAGTTTACTAATGAAGTGTGCTCCTGAACACGCTTTAAGCTTGCTTAAGTCAAATTCTTTTATTTCCAAGTGGAAGCGTGTTGTGAGCATGCTATCACGTTTATCCCTGTTTTCCCGGCCTGGAGGGTCACATGTATGGTCTTTCATATATTAACTTGCACTGTAGAATATGTTGCTATACTCTAGATGTAAATTTTTTACTTCCAAAATTTCCCTAATATCCATAATTTTAGGTGCAACAATGCCTCATCTCCTCAAGCTGTCTTACATATCAGCCTCAAGTTTTGCCTCTGTACTCAATTCCAGTATTAGTCTATAAAAAAGTTTACTCATCACCCCCTTCCCCCCCCCTCCTTCATTAGTTGTTGAGGGTTGACACTTCAGCAGTGGCTATGTTTTGATCATCTGCCATTTGCTATTTGGAGGCCACTTATAAAATGATTCACTTCAAAAGGTTGTGTCTTGTATACCAATACCTGTATTTTTTGCTAGTCTAGCTCCCTGCATGTCGTTTAGTATTGAATCACTCATGTTAACTGTGCTACTGTTCAATTTAGAGTGATGAAGAGTCTCTGTTGTCCCATGGTTCACAAAAGCAGATTGTGGTTAGTGTGATGAATAAGTTCATATGCCCTGTGATACTGAGATTCCCTTCTCTTACTGCTCAGACAGTGACAAGAGGGAACCTCTGCTTGCCCCACTCAATCATTTGAACAACTGCAGTCCACAGTCAGGGAAGAGGAAATTAAAAAATACCTGTTTTAACAGGTTCAAAACTTATGCTTGTGAGAGAGAGTATTTAAAATGCTAATGAGGTTCACGATACAGTTAGAAACTGTGTAGTGTCACTGTAATGAATTCAGCTCATCGATGTAAAATTGAGTGAATCAGGGCAAAAAACATTTTCATTTCACTTGTCTATCAGACGGGTACTTTTTTCCAGATTTTGGGCATCCAAACATGAAATCCACTTGTCCAAAAACAGAAAACAAACAAATTATATATATTGGAATAAAAATGTTCTCTGGTTAAAAATATATTAAAAACATAAGCTTTCGGCTATCAGTCTATAGCCTTTAACGAATGAAAAATGTGGTGCGCAAGCGAAAATATATACGAATGGGGTGCGAAAAATTGAGAATAAAAATAAGCGTGAAAAAAGCAAGAAGATAAAAATGTAAATGAAGCCTGATTACAATAAAATTGAGTATTGCCTAGGCAACGGTTTTCAGTTGTTTTCCGCGTCGACGGTTTTTGCTGTGTGCCAAGATTCTAGTGTTTTTTGAACGCGGTAATTGCCTTTGTCAATGACACAAGCATTGTCGAAATCAATGGAGTGATTGTTTTGCCACGCATGGTTGGCAACATTAGAGCCATTTGAAT